GGCGCCGCCGGGCCCCGCCACCATGGAGCGGCGCCGCCGGGCCGGGGGCGGCGCGCTACCACCATAGAGTTGGCGGGTCTGCAGTTAGAGCGCCGCCACCATAGAGCGCGAGCCGCCGGGGCGGGTGGGGCCCGCTGACACCATAGAGTTGGGGTGCCCGGAGCCTACAGCGCCGCCACCATAGAGCGGGCCCGCCGGGGCGGGAGCGCCCCCTGCCGGGGCCACCCTCGGCTCACACGTGACTTCCGGCCCGACCCTGCGCAGAGCCTTGCCACACCACAGACCCATTYTTAACATGTTTTTAACCCGTTTTTAACCCGTTTTAACCCCCCCGGCCTCTTTCCCCTGGCGTCCGTGGCACAGGGATGCAGCTGTGCTTTGCCCTCATAGTTGCAGYGCCTCAGCGGGCTGCACAGGGTGTTTGTGAAGGGAAAGGCAGCCGGCCACTTCCACCCTCCTTCCACGATTACAGGAACGGCACCACTGCTTAAAAAACCCCACCTTAACCTACTTGCTGGCACAGATACCKGCCCAAGGGCACATCTTCTAAACTACGTAGCCAGCGCTTTCTTTAAAAAGTTGCTTAAAGCTATGCTTGAYGTGAAGAGAAGGGGAAAAAGAAATGGAACATTCACTTCACTTCACACACGGGGCATTTAGTTCTTTAGCAGGGGCTGAAGGCAGAAAATAAGCAAATAAAGAGAAACGAGAGGTCTCTAAAACATTGCCTCATACAACGTTTCTGTTTCAGATCCATTAACACTCAGAAATATGACTAATTCAAAATTAACAAGGTTTATTTTATCACATCTTACATTTTTAAATCATAATTTAAAAGCTAGCCCCCACCTACTGCAACAGAGCATGTTTAAAAGCCTTGCTTCAAGAGCCATGGAGAGCCTTACTCGCCCATCCACTGCACGTGCAGTATTGGCCAACCCAGAAAATATACAAGGGGCTTTGCACTATGGAGGTTTTTCACTCAGTTTATACACACAAAATCTCCCCGTYCCACTTCCCAAAGGACAACACGCTCTGGACAACTGCCCACAAGCCTGAACTCCACTGCATGTATTTATCTCTGAGCAAAATCAATGGTTATTTTGCTTACATAAGGAATCAGGTCCTAAAATGCAAACCTGTGTCAGCAGGTGGTAACATACATATATAAATATATATATAATATTATATAGTTATACAAGGAGAATTAAAGAAATAATTATATAAAAGATTTTTAAAATGCCAGTACTCTGAATTATCTGTAAAATGTATAAGCCTGTGCATAAGACTGCAAGCAAGCTCTAAAACCTAGTCAATATAAAATCAGTGCTGCCCATACAAGACATTGCTGCATTTCCACTCTGTGGTAGCAGAAATCCAGTCCCCAACCTGCTCCCATCACCAGGCTTGGCATATCCGTGTACAGCTGGAGCAGGTCATCCCATCCCAGACAGAAACCGCSTGCACTTCCCAAGTAGAAAGTTTAGGTTTGTTGCTTTATAGATAAGGCTTCGTACGTTGTACCTGAGCACTTTGTTCTCTTTAAGCTGCTACAGCGCTCACGTGCTGGGGTCTATGGGTGCGTACACCAGTCCAGGGCTGACTACAGAAAGCCTGGGCTGGATGCAGAAATAGGCTCAGAAGTACCCTAGAGTAAAGAGGTTTTCATGCACTAATTCCAGCTTTCCGAGACTCTACTCGGATTTTATTTACTTCTTAAGGGGTTTTCTTTCGGAAGAGCATTTCAAAATTAATGGTGTGAGACATTAAAGCACACTTACAATTTTGGGGCAACTCCATAGGTACCTACTCTTCTTAGGTAACCAARGGGGGCTCTTGCAGTTTAGCTCAATCCTCTCATCACGTGGGCTGAAAAAGGCACTTCACGCACAGCAGGAGAAGCAGCGAGGAAAAGGGTTTGAGGTGGTCACACAAATGCCACCCACATGGCTCCACASAGCGGCCTTTTAGCTCTGTCGTTTGGAGCTCGTCTTCGGCGCGGCCCAGCGCCGTGTAAGCTGCCCTGCTCCGAGCCCTCCCCTTGGGCGCTAGCAGGTGCCTGTGTCGCGCTCCGGATCCCAGGGGAGGAYCCGCTCCCAGGGACGGAGGGCGGCTCGGAGCACAGCACGAAGGAAGGGACTGCGAAGCTTGTGCAGTGGCCGCCGCTTTGCCTCCTTCGGCTGCRAACAGTTTGAGGTGACAAAGCCATGAAAGCCAAAGGAGGCTATTGCAAACACCCTAGCATCTTACCGACCATCAAACCTAGCAGCTCCTGGCACAATGACTAAACTATTTCCCACGGAATGGCATGATTCTTCCACTCACTTATTCTAAATTGAGAACTAGACAAGGAAAAAAATCTCCTCAGTTCTTGGCACGAATCAAACCCAGATTAATGCTATAGCACTTGGAGGAGTAGGGAGAAAACAAAACAAACAAAAAAACAACAACAACAAAAAAGAAAACACACAACCCTGCAACTCTTCTCAACTACATTACAATGGTACACGGTAACAATTAGTAGTAGTAGTAGTAGTATTACTACTATTACTTTCTAAGCAAACTRATGTCGAAATATTTCATTTTACAGAACTGTTGCTTTACCCATTTGTTGGTTCAAGAGTTTATCTACACATGATTAAAGGGTCTTTTAGATCAATTGAGATACACATTTCATATCACTTGGTATTTTTATTTTAAGGGGGACTTTAATTGAAAGCATAATTTACGCCCACAACTTTGAGATAAACAAACATCTGTATTCACAGAGATCTGTGAATACTTGTGAATACAGAGATAGGGATGTTCTTCTATTTAATTATGCTGGGGACATTAGATTTGGATGGCCAAGATCTTGCATAATTTAACTTGCATAATTTATCCCACTTTCAAGAAGCTTTAACTATTCTACTGTTGCACAGCCCCCACAGCAGAGATCACGTAGGGGTTACTCACTGCGCTTATGAAGGAGTCTTTTAGCTGGTAAAGGTGTATTTTTCATTTCATCTTATTCTAACAGCCCATCAGAGCAGGTAAGTTACAGTATTGCTGAGATGCCAACACCAACATGACATCAAAGGAAGCCCTGCCACTGTAACAAGCCCATTTGGTCCACCRTGTAACGTTGTATTTTCGATGGTGTTTTCTGAAGCCCGATGCAAGGAATTCTCTGTAAATATAAGTGATATAGTGATACAATGCCGAAACACACRTGGAGGAGCTATCTCACAAGTCGACCAGTACATTCATTTGGCCTCACAACCTCTACCMCTTCTACTTGATGCTAAAACAAACACACAAAGCGACACTACTGTTTGCAAAGTGCTATAAAGTTGATTCTGGCAAAAAACTGTTAGCAACGTATTTTGGTTATTACATTGAGGTGATCAAATGATGAAGTCAGGTAATACGGGCATTATTTCCCCAGACTTTCAGCATGTATACTTGCAAACGTGAGATTTAGTTCCAAAGAACTAACGTTTTTCATCTTTGCGCCAAAAATAATGGTGCAGCAAGTGCAGATTCTGCTCTTGTTAGCTTTATATGCACTGGGAGACGGTAACTAAAGCYGGGCTGCGTGGGTGCCAGGCGAGGTGTGTGCTGGCACGTGGCGGTTCTGCCGCTCGCGGCGCGCGCCCAGGGCAGCTGGCCTCGGCCGCGCGCGCTTCCCAGACTGCTGCTAACAAGCGCACAGCAGCTAGTGAGACAAAGGGAAACACTCRGCACGTCATCGCTTTGAGTACGTTTTGCTAGTGCTTTTACTCGGGCCCAGTCTTGGGGTTGGGATCTTGCTTCCTACAGAAGGGGATCGAGCTTTTGCTCCTGAAGGACCCGTTTTCATTAAATACAGGCCACTTGTTTTGCCTGCGAAGAGAACAGAGAGATTATTATTTCCAGGTACACCCGGTCCGCAGCTTGAATTTTGTTTACYGTTTTGATTGTCACGGTATGTTTTGTCTGAAGGAATACTCCTAGGAACCCCAAGTTGGCACGTCCCTAGCTCAAGAATCCCCAACCTYTGAGTACAGCAAGGAGCATCTCACACCAGGAGTTGTACGAGTGCACGGTCACAGTTCCCATCTCCAGGAAATTGCCCTGGAGCGTCAGCTCTATCAAACGAGATTTAAGCTATTTCTGATCACATTTCCAATTTCTAAGCAGCAACACACTAATAATTAGCTTTCTTAATAACAAGTAATGGCAAGCACACCAACGGACAGATGTAATGCTGGGCTGAGCTTAGAAGATTGGAAATGGTGTATTTTTGGCAGTTGAAGGAGATGGTCAAACGCTCCTTTCCAGGAMTTTGCAGTAGCTGTGAAATGCAGAGGAGAAAAACAGAGCTCAGAGAGAGAAAAGAAGAAACCAACAACACCTGAACATGCAGCAGATCAAAGAACCAAGAAGAAAGCCCGAAGGAAGAAAGGCTTTGGAGGTAACTGGCCAAAGCAACTTTGGCACTGCAAGCAGTGGAARTAGTTCATTTCTTTTAATTTGATGCCTAGGATTTGCACATGCTTCACAAAGATGCATAACCAAAAAAGAACAACAAAAAACCCCATGACATCAGCACTGATGCATCTCTTTGTTGGAAAAGCTGCTACAYAATCAAAAACCTGCCTAGCTCCTGGTTCCAAGCTGAAAAGCAAAACCCTGTGCAGCACAAACTACCCCGTTCACCTCGCAGTCAGGATTAGATTTGCGCACCCTGGTTGGACAGTAGCCCCCAGTGAGGTTTTCAGTTCCCTGGTGCACGTTCAGGAGCCTTCCATGAGGCTRAACTGTTCAGTCTCATAGTGGAGCCTTTTGCTCATGCTCTTCSCAGGGACGGGGGCTAAGAGCAACGGCAGCAAGGAAACGCTTGCAGACCACGCCACTGCACAGCAAGACTGAGCTCACAAAATGCACAAACAGGCCAATACTCTACTGGATTAAAGTAATGCCCTCCCTTTGAAATTGTCACTTTTGAATGATTTAACAGTGAGGAGAACTTGTTCCTAAGTATATACCAGCATAAGAAATACCAGTTAGGCCACACAAAGGCAAAAAGCATGTTGAATAAGGAATTAAAGGCCAGTTTATTTTATTCTTGAAAGCAAACTGCCTAAAGAACTACAACAAGCTGAAAAGCATAATCATTGCATAAACATCTTACCTGACTGTGCTGGAAAATATTTATTTATTATAGGTAACCTCCGCAGATTCATTCTACAACCATCCTTCCCCATTAAGTGAGACTTCCAGGCCTATAGTCAATTAAAAAAGCAGATAAGTTACAAACACAGCAATTTTAAACATCTTTTATCTAGGTACAATGTACACACACAAATGCTTTTAAATGTTGCAAAAATAAAAGTTAATATTTACTTTGTGCAAGAGTTTTTTAGCTTGCTTTCTTACAGAAATATGAGCATTTATGTGGCACAGATGTTCTATGTGGGGATCTTGTTCTGTTTTTCACTTCCTTACTTACCTTCCTTGACTGAATTCAAAGCAAGTAGAAAACCCTTTTGTCGACATTTATTTTATATTGAAAAAGCRTGGACATAGCTGCAAGAGTATGGTAATAGTTAAAGCATTCAGTGCTCCAAAAGAGTGCAAGCTGCTATTACCAGAAAATATCAGAATCTCTCTAAAAATTAGAGAATTAGAGACTATGTTATGCCTCTTCTTACTTACTGGAAGAACTCAGAACAACAACAACAACAAAATCCCCCAAGTCCAAGCCTCACATATTTCTTTTAAATGTTTCAAAGTTGGTAACAGTATCTTTAGATTTATTTTCTGAGCCTCTCTCTCTTGGGAATGCCAAACAAATTCTGAAAGAACCTTTTCRAGAAGTGTTACTCGGTGGCAACATGACATTCCAGGGAAGAAAATGGCACGTACTATACATCACCCTTTGACATCCATACAGAACCAGTGCATGGGGCAGTCTATAGYGCTCTGGTTCCCATACACACCTGGGAGGGTTGAAGGCCCAGATTCAGGTACGTGCCCAGGGCATGGAATAGCCATTAGAGACCCTAGTAACAACCCAGGCAGTTTCTTAAATCTTCATGCATTATCCAGCATTAAGGATACAAGAGGATGCTAACTCAACCCCAGTGACATAAGAGTAAGATCAGTCTAGAAGGCAATCCTACCTCYTCTCCTGGGGAAAAGTTGTCATGACACAGCGGGCAATGGTTTGCCACTTGTTCTGGTTTGGCAGCTGAAGAGATTAAAAAAATAACATGAGAATGGCAAAGACTGGCTAATTTTCAAATACAGAGGAGGACTTGCATAACAAAGAACACGATTATGACTAAATCAGCTCAAATACTATTATCATTAATTGCTCTCAAAGATGCCCTGTGTTCAATCATCTACGCAGAAAGAAAATGAAAAGGAAGAGAGCTGTTAGCACACAGGAATGCCTGGGGTTTGCCCTGCGTGCAGCTGGGGTGGTGGCTTTCCACTCTTCCCACCTGCTCTCCCTCCCCATGGGCATTCATGGCAGTGCCAGTGCTCCAGSTACTTCAAACACAGCTGTTTTACACTCAACATGTTCGGCTCCTGAAGGTGCAGTTAGAATCCTAAATCCGCAGTGCAACACCTAAACAGAAGTRGACTGACTTGCCAAAAACATGCAGTACTTGAAAATCTAGCCAACCTCACTTTTGAGCTACAACTTTTCTATTTAATTACTCACAATTGCAAGTCTTGCTCTTAATATGTTTGGGTAACTCATCTTTCGGAAGGGCCTCACTACAGCGTTGACATTTCCCAAAGTTGTCCTTTTTATCACACTCGATCAGCAAGTGCTCTGTCAGGCTTGCTATTTCAACCACCTGCAACACAGCGAGAGGTTCACAGAAAGATGAGCACCGGGCCAAAGAAATAAGGAGGGTGTTCAAAAGACCAGGTACGTGACATGAATCTAGTTTTTAATCTAGTTCATAGGGCTGTTCTTTTCTAAAAGCACCATCCAAGATTACRCAACTGCATTGCAAATTCAACCATGATGCTGTTAAATACCTCCTAGCACCCTGAATCCTGAGTACCGACATGCAACGACTTTATCAGCTATAAAAAGCTTATGCCTGACCTGTTTGCAGTGCTCACATCTGGTTAACATAGGACAATGCTTCCAGTAATGAAGATCCAACCCTTCCTCTGTGAAGGATTCATCCCTTTCACCACAAAAAATGCATAAGCTAGGAATAACAAAAAACAAACAAATCAGCAAACATYAGAACGCTATACATTGATATGGGGGAGCCCCATTTCTTCTATTCTGAAGAGCAGCTAACATTCTGGTACAGTWAATTTTCCCCTATATATTACAGACATTAGTGTGGGGTATAAAGAGATACTGCTGTATAATTCATGTTAAGTACAGCTTAAAAGCATTTGTTGCTTCAAAAAAAGCATTGAGAACAGCTGACTTAAATGGTTTTCACGACCTCAGAAGCTTTAAGTGCTTTCTCTGTGCCCCAATTCTATAACACACTTGAGAGTTCCAGCAGGACTTTGCCTTATTTCACATCGTCAGCAGACCATTATTTTGTAGTAATTTATAGGCAACTGTTCAGAAAGCAAGCTCGGGGTTACACTGTCCAAGCAGCGTAACATCTAGGATTGCTTGGTGGTATTTCCAAATTGGTTAGAAGAAAAAYTGTCATTACTTAAATGCTCAAGGTATTACCCTGCATCTAGCAAAGAAAAGTTATTTTGGCTCTTAGCTTGTAAGTTACCCTGTTCAGTGGTCAGAAAGTGTTCGACTAACTTACTTATCTAAATAATTTGAAACAGAGGGATGATCATCTGCAATGTCAGCTGCTGCATGCTGTGGCCCTTCATTTACCCGAGAGTCTGTAAAAAGGAGAGGAAAAAAAAATCACATTTTAATTAATTCTTGTGCATGCAGAGAACCACTGCTTCTCCATATCTTAACAGCAGCAGACCTAATAGAAGTTCCCATGTTGGAAGACAAACACTAAAGGACACCGTACCTACAGGCAGCTGGAAAACTGCAGCTTTGGGGATCACATATAAGARTTTCATGGTTATTTTGAAAATGTAGTAAATGATTTACTTTAAGTTGGAGAGAAATCAAAAATGGTTTGAAGCCAAGTCACTTTCATTTGTAGATGTTAAGCAGTTAACTGATGGTAATGTTATTGCTTTTTTAGTAAACTTAATAGTTCTCTAGGACAGGCAGAGCTTCAGCCAATTCAAAGTACTGAGGCATTTGACTCTGATGATTTAACAATCCATTAAGCACCTATCGTGCCTCAAGAATGACCTCTAATAATAATAAGGAATAGAGAGGAATTTCAAGTTACTTACCTTGATTCTTTGACTTCTGAAAATCAGATTCTTTTTCCTATGGAACAGAGAAATTTAAGTCAGTACTTTCCTTAAAGACTGCAATGCTTTCCAGGGATGAAGAGAACAGATTACATCCCAAATTCTCTCTGGATTTAGGGATTTAGGAGTGGAACCAATGCTTCACACTGTTTGTGCCTCTGGTCCTACAGCACATCTTTCAGCTATAAGGGCAGCAAGTGTTTGCCACAAAGGGTCCCACCACGTGCCTGTGAAGCAGCTATTATCTTTCTAAGGTTCAGGTGTGAGACTTAACGGAGGAGCAGTGCTGCAAGCTCCGGGAGGCTCTGAAGGTGCTCGGTACCATTCCTATTCTCTAGCTGGCACAATCACACTTCTAGAAGCGCTCGCACAGTTGCCGTAACATGGACAGAGCTGCTATAAGAGAAACCAATCTTGATCCTACTTTAGGAAAAACAAGCTGCCAGATTTAGAAGCTGTTTGCTAAGGAAGACAATTGTTTCTCTAGTGTATGTCATGGAGACCTCTCTAGTGTCATCTCATCACAGATCATCTCAACCTGGGATATCCGAGGGGAAACAAAGCAGAAAGAGGCCAAAAAACAAACAAACAAACAGCCCTAACCTTTCCAGCTTGAACTTCTGCCTGTATCTCCTTTAGAGCTGCCAGCTGCCCTTGCAGAACTTTAATTTCATCCAACTTCTGTTTCTCTGCTTCTTCTGTGGCTGCCTTTTTCTGTGCCTGTGTCCAGAAACATTCCTTCAATTACAATAGCTTTTGAACCACAGTCATATAGAGGAGATTGCAAAACATAAAATAGCAGCATAGAACAAGTGATCAGTGATTTTGTTTTTAGACTATTACAGCAATACACATTAAGATTTCTGCCATATGTGTCATTCGCTATCTTACAGAGCTATGAAAACACCACATTGCTTAGCTGAATACCACATTTAAAGTAGCTACACATGATTTATAGTCTTACATTACATACCCTAATTTCAGCTTCAGTAAGTTTCCCATCTATTTTACTAAATCCATCAAAAAGTGTTTTATAGAGAACAGTCTTGCGAGTGTTTACATCATCTGGAGGAAGATACTCCAGTATGGCAGCCTTGTGCTTCCTGTACATATCAAAGATAATCCGCAACGCTGTATCACGCACTTCACACACTCTGTGTTCCAAAGCACSTGTTGCAAACTGAAAAGGGAGAGAAAAAAAGAAAGAAAACAAACAAATATGTTTTTCTCACATTCCCCTCATCTGTTAAGACGACTTTGCTCTTTAGCCTATGACAATTATGCCACTGCAGTGGGAGAAGTCTTTATGCTGAGCTTTTTTTTTTCCAAACATATTTTGATCAGCTGATTCTTTATCCTCTGTTGGCATCTTGCTTCCTCATACCACTGCATGGCATCACCTTCAAGAGGCTCATTAGTTCTCTCTCTTCGTAATTTACTGACTGCTTCAAAACAGACAGACAAACCAACTAATCCAACAACAACAGAAAAAAACTTAAAATACTGTAAACTTGGACTACTACCTTCATGATGTTGTCAATGGTAAACCCAGAGTTTTCAGTTCCCATTTCTTTCAAAAGTTGCTCCACTAACTCCACCTGACTCATTGCCAGATGTGTTGGGGACGTCGGCTTAAGTGGCTGAACCAAATGAACTGGAACGATCTGAAGAGGTTTAACTTCGTTACACAGTGCCATTTCCTATAAACACAGAGAGCCAGTTGGGATGGAAGAATACTAAATATGGAGTATGAACTGCCTTTGTAAAGCAGAAGAATTCAAGATTACTTTAACTTGTTAAGTAAAATGACGCAAACCTCCCTAAGTAACTGTTTCTTTAGGAATTAAAAGTCATTTGCACCAGCTTCCAATGGAAGATGATGTAGATGTTTGGTCTTGCTTTTGGCATCAAAGAGTAAACCACTGAAAAACAGTTAAAATATTAGATATGGGGAGAAGAGCAARAGGTGTGGAACTGTGCTGTGAGAAAATTCAAAGCGATCCATCTTACACTGAACTATCCAAGGAGGAAATAAGAAGCATCTCAAAGGATGCCAAATGTTGACAATGCATCAAGATTGATCTCGGCAGTGCGGAAGACAGATGCCATTGAGTAATTTCGCATTCTATTTTGGAAAACCTCCAAGGCTAACTTCTGTTATTATTCAAAATGCACTGTTTGTCTCTTTGCTGGCAGCAGAATGACTAATAGCCCGCAGCAGCCCTCCTCTGGATCCTGTCAGCTGACACACACTCAAGGAGACAACAGTGTCCTGCAGTTCCTCTCCCTTGCTGAGGGACTCAATTGTCCCAGGGCTGCTTGGTCAGTCGTGGTCATAATTATTTCCATTTGGCATCTTCCCCAGAGAACTGCTCATTAGGGCAGTGTCTCTTCTATTAGCATTGATCTAGAGTAAACGTATTTTCCTTCTTTGCAGGCGAAGCCYAGCCCTGTCAAAAATGGAACCAAACTATAACACAGTTATAGTTTCTGTAGCATAGAAAACTGAGGATTATGTAGGGACTGCTTGCTTTCTTCTCCGTAGATCACTTACAACTAATAAGAACTAATTAGCAATACCATTCTTGCATCTGCAGCAGCAGAATAGAAGATATCAGCTATTTTCTCACAATCTCTCTGCACTAAAGGTGAAAGTACCCTGCTGGCAAAGCTACTGCCAAGAAATTAAGTTGGTTCTACCCCTTTGCTTTGCACACGAGGCATAATCCTTCACAGCAGCAAGCTCTAGAGCCGAAGTCAAGTCTGATTAGAGGTTACTCAAGTACAACCTCTGTGACATTCTTCATGCTAATGCAATCAAAATGTAATTTGATGAAAATGGAATTCGAAGAAAAACTCCCACCTGGATAAAGTTAGAAGCCACAAGACGAAGACGGGCTGAAGAGTCTCCTGTTCTGGAAAGCAAACTTGGAAGTGTTTTTTCTACACAATGAGAAGTTTCTAGTTTTCCTAATTTATGCTTCGGTATATATTGCGTAATGATCATTTTCAGAAGTTTTAGGGAAGCTTGAAAAACCTGAATTAAAAGGAAAAGAAGGTGAACTGAACAAAAATGCCATGAAGACCCCAGTTTTCCGTCAGTATTGCAAAATATTTTCTGTAATTCTATACAACAGCAGGAATCTAGAAATAAGATACCATTATTAAMAAAGGCTACTTCAGATATCTCTTTTCCAGAAAAAAGATGTGCTTAGTGACTAAGTGAAAAACTTCAAGATTTATTTTATAATGAACAACTTTCCCCCCGCCCCCTCCCTCTTATTTAAGACTTAGTTGAAGGCTAGGYTTTCCTTAGGTTAAATTTAATCTCCTAAACTGGAGACCAAGTTGTCTCACTCTGTCTGCTCTATGGCTCTATTTCAATTGTTGGGAAAAAAAAMCCCTCAACCACAGGACATATTTGCTGCAAGAGCAGTTGTTTCTCTGACTCCATCACCCAGCCCAAGACTTTATTTTCCATGCTGATAGGAGCCAGAATTCACTCTATCTAAAGGCTGATATTCCAAATTTCCTTTTTTCATTCGGTCCTTCATTCAGTAAAGTTTCACAAGTTGTTTCAATCATTAGACACCTTTTAATTACAGTTACACAATTTTAGTTGTTTGATGTTCACTAGAACATTTTATGATTTAAACTGGCAATTTAAAGATATTTGGCCACTCAACTGCTATAATAGCAGTTCTAAATAGCACTTCTAAATTTGGTTCTGCCATTTTTTGATGAGCTGAAGTTTACAGAAATCAGTCTGCACCAATCACAATTTAAAAATACTGGAATATCTAGTTTCTCTCCTCTATGTGTGCACATTCCAAATTGTAAGTGTAAAAACAATATGAACCCACGTTTTTCTTTCCTTATACCGGTAATTTTAAGCAACAAAGCAGTTTATAGCATAGGACACTTTTTTTTTTTTTTTTGTATTTATAATTCTTGTCTCCACTAAAACTTGTTTTACTGCCAAGTAAATGTGATCCTACGCTGAGTGGGGCCCTGCCAATTTCCCTGGGACAGAACAGATGCAAGATTTTGCACAAACTGCAGGCTAGGGAGCTTTTTTTACCAAATGTATCACTACTTACTGAAGATACAATGTCTTTTATGGCTCTCCTTACAAGGAAAATGGCAGCCCTCAGCATGTTCTTTAAATCGTCCTTTGGAGTGCTCACTGACACTTCTATCAGCTTCTTATACACAGCAAGTAATGCATCTTCTCGATAGGACCACGTCTTGGAATATGCTCCTGAAACCTGAACACAGAGCATGATCACCTTTCAAACGGCTAATGTTGCTTTTCTTCTGTGCAATATTTATATACAGAAACAGTCTTACAAGAATATACAAAATGAAGTATTCAAATGCCCTATCAGTAGGTCACAGAATCACAGGGTGCTTGCCAAGAGAGATTACAGTAATCCATATGTTTATCTTGCTGTTCTTTACCAAGACTTCTCCAAAAACTTCAATGGCAGGGCTGGCCTCCCTCAGTGCCCTCTCTGTTAATGGTTCTGGCTCCCCAGTAATGCCGCTTCTTGGACTGTCACTGACACCCTCTTCAGTTGTCTCTGGCTCCAGGGATGCAATTCCTTCCTCAGGTTGCTTACGGATAGCTGGAAGAGGTCTTTCATCGTAAGGTAAAAACTCAACCTGAATAGAGAAGATTAAGTCATTTCTGGAATAGCAACCTTTGACGCAAAGCTGTTGCAGCTAATTGGATTCACCTCAATTCAATTGATTTCCACCCCTGCCCCCCTTTAAAGCAGTACTGCTTGACAATTAAGTCCAGATTAAGTGCACCAGAAGTTCCCACAATAACACCACGAAGAGGTGGAATGAGCGCTTGCGAATGCAACAGTCACATCCCCAGGATACTGTTAAACATATACAAAATGCCCTCTGTGGAAATGAAATACTTGCAGAGGAAACCCTCAGCAAGACAAAGCTTTACTTGATAAAATATTTTATGCCAGCATGCTGCTAAGAAAGCACATTACTACTACTGTAGTCAATGCAGGATGTAGCAGGAACAATGAAGGCCAATGTAACTAGTAGACACTGTGACTTTCTTCCTCTCTTTAGAGAGGACACACATTCTGCTACTTTCCTTAAAATCCCCTTCTAGCCTGCTTCTGCAGATACACACAGTATCATCTCTAAGAATAAGATTTATTAAGCCATTAAGGAAGCAGACAAAAACCTGCTACCTGTTTCCTCARTAAACTGTCTGTGTGGCCTCTGATTTATCATTTAGTGCCTATTTCATTCCATTCATCTATTTGTAAATCAGGGATATTCTTATTTACCTCAGTCTCAAAGAGCATTTGTAGCACCTTCCAAAGTGGTCCACGGAATAGAAAGGCTAAGAGCAGTTATCAGCTGGGCACTGCTTAGCAGCAGGGCCAGTTTCAGACACAGGACACGAGAATAACCACAAAAGACCAGGCCATTTTGGAAGGCTGGTTGCAACATCAATTGCTGTGCTAAATTTCTGCAGAGACAAAAGTACATTACTCACATTATCTTTAGGAAACTCTTCCCCTGAGGGATGAGCCACAGGAGGAAGAGATTGGTGGGGAGCAATGGGCTCCGGAGAAGCGTGCTTCACCGCCTTCTCTCCCAGCAAAGGCTCTGCTTTCTGCGACTCGCCTTCTTGCAGCTCCACTTTCTCAYGAGGAGGTGAATTTACGGCTTTTGTGTGCCGAGAACTACCAGCACAAATCACGGGCTCCAAAGGCAACTCGGGTGGTCTTTGAATCTGAGAAAGCAAGGGCGTTTTGTAAACTAACGTGGTTTAAACTTAAAATTAAAGTTATTATAGCTACAACTTCGACAGTCACCAAAATTTTTGTTGCTTTCAAATGGATACTAGACCTCATTTATAGAAGTACCATTACTGCACTGGATGCAGCTTTATGAGACAATTGTAAAACAAGTTACTTGGTGCATGTGAGAAACAGATGGACAGGGAGTGTGAGACCGCAAACAGTCCCATACTGAGAACAGTATAAAATGTACCTTATTATGCTTCTTCATAGGTCATTCTAATTATGCATGCTTAGCAGTAGACTAGCATAAGCCTCTTAAATCCACAATGAGAAATACTTTAAAATATGAAAAACTAACTTATGAATGGAGACTGCCYAGCCTTGAAATAATGCAAAGAATTTGGAAGTCTGATGCTATCAGGTCTAAGCATTAACATTGTAATTTATGGAGAACTAAGCATGTTCATAAAATACCATGTGCAAGTCTTTTGTTGGGAAAATTCAGTCTAAGTAGAAAGAAAATCTTTACATATTGTCAAATAATATTTGTGCAGAGCCGTTATTTGGGCCGTTCTGCCATCTCCATTCACAATAGCAACCTGATCAAGCATTCAGAATTCTGAATAACAATAGCCACCATCAGCTCTGGATCCAGAAGGTTATGCAGCTCCAGTTGCTGGTACACTTTCAGGCGATACTCTTCCATTTGCTGTTTCTTCTTTTTAGCAAGATCATAATCCTCCTTCTCCACAGCATAGCGTTTCTCTACCTCATAGCGTCCAAGGCGTTCCCCTACCTGGAAAAATGTTTAAACAGGTTATCTTGGAGTCACGTTATTGTATATATGCCTGCATTCCAGTACTTCCAGTCAGGTTTTAAAATCAAGTTATCTGATTTTAGCATTGCTATTTTTAAAACATACAGGAAATCACTACAATTCTGCTTTAATACTAAGGTTAAAGAGTGCCTGCTTAGCGAACCAGCAAAAGCCGTTGCATTTAAGAGATCAAGGCCAGCTCAGCAATACCTTCTGCAAGTCTGCGATTGCTTGTTTGAGTTTCTTGGCATAGTCGTAGTGCTCCTGACGGACAGCTTCGCGCTTCTTCTCATCCAGCCTGCGTATTATCTGGGCAACTTCTGGGTCCTGGTACATGTCAAAAGCCAAATCATCCAGAGGTGAAATGGAGTCAGGCTTCCTGAAGAAATCAATTTAATAAAATTAAATTTCAGCTAGTTCAGAACATCAGGTGGAACATACRATTTTTTTTTCCCCTGCTACTTGGGAACTAAGAAAATACAGAGATTGGGAACTAATTGAGACTGAGTAAACATTTTGCTAGGGCATGCACAAAACAGTACCCTTACCCAAAGTACGTTCCATCCAAGGCTGGATCATCTGATTTACTTCCTAAGTAGTGGTCTATCAGCTTCTCTCTTGAAGTCTTTGTGGGCAAAGAAACAAACAAAAAATCTTAATGCAGTTCAGCAACATCATGTACAYGTTCACATCAGGAACTACGACATAACAAACAATATATATGAGCTAGGAGCCTTAGCACACTTCTGTCTGGACACATGGAAATAGATCAGTTTTGACAGGCTGAAAACGTAGATGTTTCAATGCTTTGGGTTTTTTTTTTTTCTTCAACAAAGGGGTGTAAATTTTATCAGAGCTTTCTTGCTTCAAAATTAAATACAAATGGATATATGGCAACTCTTCAAAGCACTGAACTATTGGAAGATGCTGCCATCCATTATTTCAGAAACACTGCACCTGAACACACATGTAGCAATAATAAAAAGACAGGCATGCTTTCTATTACATACTTACATTGTTACTGCTGTCATTACTGTAGTCGGCAGGTTCTCCAATGATATTTATGGCTACTAGGGCAACCTAGGATAGATTTAAAGAAGCTGTAAATGCACAAGGTCATTGCCTTTTCTTCCTGCTCTATGAAAATTCAAACAGCGTGCTTAAATATACTTGTACAACTAGTCACCAGACAGTTTGGGCTGATATTCCTTCAAAAGCCTAATCTACTGAAAATCATCAGTCGGTGATTCATATAACTCACCTACCTTTTTCTTAGTATTACTTAAATATGAGAAAACATAATTCTTAATAGTGATAATAAAATTAATCTGAAAAAATATTTTGGTAAAATTGCTTGGGATAGAAACATTATTATTCACCCACTTAACTGCTGGGAGTTTTAAATTTGCTTTTATTTTAGAGAAGACCATAATTAAACCTAAGAGCTTTCAACTAGCATTTTTAGTTCCTAACAAATCAAAAGAGCAGATTTCTATGGCTGTCCTATACTACTGAAATTGATTTCATCTAGCTGATCAAGTAAGCACTCAAATTTAAGTTACCTGACTGTATAGGTTGTATTTATTGACATAATTCTTATGGAAAATCAGCTTTAGGTACTGGCCAACTGCATCCATGTATACAGATTTTAACTCTCGTGCTTTAAATCCAGTTTTTTCATTATCTGAGAGAGGGACATAACTGAAAAAGAAAAGACTTTCTTTTAGAATTTAACTTTTAGAAAACTTTTAGAATTTGCTAATGATTTAAGCAAAGTATGTTGTCATTTGACAAAAACGTTCATAATGTGCAACATGCCCTTAAAAAACAACAGCAACAAAATCATCTAAGCACCRATTTATAGACTTGCTTTACAGCAAAGGAGGGATCCAGAGCGGATCCAGTGCAGCACAACACAGATAAGATACATAATAATCAACACGTGTGTTCTCTTTTCAGTGGATGCACTACACCCTCGGGTAAGCACCAAGATGAAAATGCATTCAGCACGTCAGAGATAACTGCAGAGCTTACTGAGGTGTTTCACAAAGAGCCCTCTCGAAGGCTGCCTTCTGTGATCCTAACACCTTGAACACAACTCTACCCCCAACAGCACCTGTGTCTTGGGCTTTGTTTCAGTTCTACCCAAGTATGAAACAGCTCTGGACTGTTTGCAGGACAGTRTATCATCAGTACTGCCTCCAAAGCAGGATGAATAATACTACAGACTCCTAGGCCTTTCTGATGAAAGTAATACAACCATTTAGAGTCTTGTGACTTACCCTAGTCTGTGAAACCTCTCTGACTGATAAGGAGAGAAGTATTCAGGCAAGTTTTCACTRATGTAGAACTCAATTTTGCTTGAAATCATGTATTGGTGAGCAAGCAACTGTAGCTTCCGTATTCGACATCTTTCCACCAACTGCAGAACTATCTCCTGTGGATACTGACAGAGTCTGAAAACATACACAGCTCCTGAGTTATCTTTACAGACAACTTTTCTTCCAACCACATCAACACTTAATCATAAAGTCTTCCACAACAAACAACAGAGCAAAAGCGCACCATATGCATCAACRGAAAGTGCCAACAGGATTAGATTTTTTTAATACTAGACCAAAGCAGTTTCAAAGCCCAGGAAAACTGCAAAAGCAAAAATCATTCCTTCCTTCGTTTCTTTTAAAGTTATGTTACGTCTTCAGGGGGTAGCCAAGACCTATTTCACGATAGTGAGATTACAGGATTGAAGTAACTCAGATCTTTGTTTTCACAACCGATTTCACATGGCAGGCTGTGAACTATACACAGAAGCACACGTYACTCCTCCTGCTCCGTGCTACTCTAGGTACTTCACAAGAAGGCCCCGTGCTCGCCCCGGCAGTACCTGGGCGATCGCCAGCCGTTCACGGTGGGCGCRTGGACCATCAGCTCCCTCGCGCTGAAGCCGTCCTCGTGTCCCGAGGAGCTCACGACCACAAAGCCGATCTTGTGCGGCATCCTGCGGAGGGCACCTCGSCAGGGCCGCCCTCGGAGCCGGCCTGGGCCCTGCCGGCGCAAGGAAGGAGCGCTGAAACTCCACCACCACGCCGAGCCCCACGGGCCCTCTGGGCACACCCAGGAGCCACCAGCTTCCAACTTGGGTTTCCTCTAATGGAACTAATAGCAGTGTCAGGCTCTTACTGTGCTCTTACTCAGGGCATCCACCAAGACTTAGCGAGCTGGGGGCTTGCTCAGCTTGTGCACCGATGTCCACGGAGCCAAGGAAAGCTGCGAAGCTGGGCGGAAACCTGCAGCCTTTTGCTTTGGCCAACACAAGGCTGGCTGCTCGGCACCTCCYCTACCCGACCCTGGGGAGCAGAGGGAGAGTTAGGAGGGATGGAGRGTAGAGCGTGAGGAGGAAAAACAACCAAAAAGCTCTTTTTAAGAAACCCGGCCGCTCTCACCGGTGCCACGGCGCGGCAAGAGCGGAGCAGGAGCAGCGGCAGGGCCGGCGCCACGCAGGCCGCAGCGGTGCTTCAAGGGCGCCCGCGCGGCGCAGGCCGCGCCGAGGAGGCCCCGCAGGGCCGGCAGCCGGG